ACAGCAGCCTGGATCTACTAACAGTGAACTCCGACTGGCCAATCCCGTGGACGCAGCACATGACGTCACCGGAATCCAACTTCGTGGAAACAACGCCCCCTGCTCAAGCATATAAAAACAACCGCATCAACGACTTCTTCAGAGGGCACGGCGGGACCGCAATGGCAACATCGCTATACCCTTCTGTATTTTTCGCCCAGGTTGGTGGCAAACACTTTTATACCAGCTTTCGTAGCGATTGTAGAAGAATTGTGGTTCTGCCGTGCCCGGCGACTTGTGCATGTCTTTTTGTGGACGCATGGACGGTCATTTTGATTCTTCTTGCGGGGGATGTTGAGCAGAATCCCGGGCCTAATAAAGACGATCTCATAAAAATGATGAATACTATGCTTGCTTCCCAGGAAGAATTCAAAACAAAAATCGAAAATTTAGCTACTGCTCACGATAAGCTAGAATCTACGGTTAATGCCCGATTAGACGATGTTATGGTAGCAATAAAAGAACAGAAAGTAGAGATCAAGGCACTGCAGACTGAAGTTACAGCGTTGAAAGTTAATCTTCAACTACACCAAAAGCGTCTGGGATGATTTAGAAGATAGAAGCAGACGCCGCAATCTTATTTTTGGTTTTCCTGAACCGGATCGTGAAAATGCTACAGAATTAAGAAAGAAGATAATCGAGGAACTGATAGGGGATAAACTCGGAGTGGTTGTTAACTCTGTGGAAAGAGTACATAGGGTTGGGAAAAAATGCCACGATAAAGTGCGACCGGTAATAATGAATTTTTTTGACTACAACGAGAAGCTTAAAGTGTTAAAAGACTGTCACAAACTGAAAGGAACAAAAATCTCGGTAAACCATGACTTCTGCAAGGCCACTATAGCAAAGCGCAGCAAACTCTGGTCTCATTTCAATGATTTTAGGGCGCAAGGTCGCAAAGTATCACTCGATTACGATAAGCTGAGAGTGGACGATGATATATACGAATGGGATGAGCATAAGAATTGCCTGAAATGTATCCGCCCGCAACGTAACCGCGACGAATGACCCGATCACAAACAATTGCGAGTTGTTCTCCTTAATTCTAGGAGCATTGTCAATAAAGTTCACGAGCTTGAAGAAATCATATTTACCTATGATCCCCAAATCATAGGAATTACAGAGACCTGGCTAACTCCGGACATTCTAGATTCTGAAATAGTTCCTCCAACTCATAAAATGGTTAGACGTGATCGAGCTCTAGGCTGCAGAGGAGGCGTTGCTTTGGTGGTTAAACAGGAAATCACTTGCATAACTATGGACGAAATAATCGACAATGAAAGTGTATGGTGTCAAATTGATTTTCGTGGGCTCTCGGCTCTCGTAGGTGTAGTCTACCGGCCCCCTTCTTCGCCAGAGTCGTTTTTGGAAAACATTCAGTCTTACATGCAGCAGAAGTGCAAGCCTAATCAAAAAGTCATATTAGCGGGGGACTTCAACCTACCATCAATTGATTGCAACACTCTTCACCCAGGTTCAACAGACGTAGCAAACTGTAACTTGTTGCTTGAATTGATGCTGAACTTTAATCTCGTTCAACTTGTTAAAGACGCTACCAGAGTTGCTCGAGGCACTGAAAGTGTACTAGATCTTCTATTTGTTGGAAACTTTTCAGATGACACTAAGGCCAGTGTTTATGATTGAATCTCTGATCACAAGCTGGTTTTACTTACCGCGAATTTCTGCCCTGACAAAAAGAATTCTGCGAGCAAGAATGTCTAATTTTTCTGCTGCAAATGACGAAGCTATTATAGATAAACTTGGTTTGTGCTTCGGTGACTTTGAGGCAGGAGGAGACGTATTAAGTCTGTGGAATACGTTTAAAAACGTTACTGCATCGTGTCTTGATAAATTCGTACCAAAATTTCAGAAAAAGAAACGGTGCAACCCCTGGATAACACGTGATATAATACAATTGAAAAGAACATTATCAAGAAAACGTAAAGCAGCGCGTAAAGATAACCAGGCCATATCTTGCCTCTCAGTAACACTGAAGCACAAAATACGGACCGCTCGAGATTGCTTTTTTGGAACGACACTTGTTAACTTCATGGAAAACGCTCCGAAAAAGTTTTGGGGATACTTGTCCGGAAACAAAGGATCTGTTGAACAGCTTCGCGTTGACGGCTGCACAGTTACTGATCCTTACGCAATTGCTAATGAGCTAAACAGAACATTCCACAATGTGTTCAGTCAACAGAGTTTAACCAATAATCCGACGGAACCATCTCCTCGCCCAACGTAATGCCGGATATAGATTTAAATGTAAATGGTATTCGCCTTCTTCTACTAAAACTTGATACCAAGAAGTCTTCTGGCCCTGACGGTATCCCTAATGCCTTTTTGAAGCGTTATGCGGACATTATTTCACATTACTTATATATTTTGTTCAACAAATCTTTGGATGACGGATGCTTACCTTCTGATTGGTTGTGTGGAAAAATTGTCCCAGTACACAAGGATGGAAGCAAACTGCTCGCTTCGAACTACAGGCCAATATCATTAATCAGTAGTTGCTGTAAACTACTTGAGCACATCCTCTCCAGCCAGATAACTTCGTTCTTGGAATCAAAAAACATATTAGGCAGCTTCCAGCACGGGTTTAGAAAAAAGTTATCAACGACGACCCAGCTCGTATCAGTCATACACGACTTCGCTTATGCTATCAATGACAGAAAACAAATAGATGCAATATTTTTGGACCTATCAAAAGCCTTTGATAGGGTACCGCACTCTTTACTGATACGAAAAATGCAGCGTGTAGGAATTGCTCCCCGCCTCGTGGACTGGATTTTTGCGTATCTGAAAAACAGAACGCAGTTTGTAGAAATTAGCGGCTACCAATCACAAAACCTTGATGTATTATCAGGAGTGCCCCAGGGGTCGGTCTTGGGACCACTCTTGTTCTTGATCTATGTGAATGATATTTGCGATGATATTGACGCGGGAGTGACTGTGAAAATGTTTGCAGACGACTGTGTTATTTATACAACTGTCAGTAGCCCCTTGCATCAATCATTGCTTAACGACAACTTGTGCAAAATTGCTGACTGGTGTGAGAGGTGGCAGATGGTTGTTAACTACTCAAAAACTTTCGCTCTTACAGTAACACACAAGAAAACTCCTCTTAAACATAAATACCATGTCCGTAACCAAAGTATCGAATTTGTTCATTCCGTAAAATATTTGGGATTGACCATTAATACGAAACTTAGTTGGGACGCTCACATCAACACCGTTTGCGCCAAGACCTACAAGAAGCTATGCTTTTTAAGAAGGAAGCTGAGGTCATGTGATTGGAAAGTTAAACTTGCAGCCTATAAAACCCTAGTTCGACCAGTGCTAGAATACGCATCCCTTGCGTGGGACCCATATTTAAAGAAAGACATAGATAAAGTGGAAAGGATTCAGCGGCTAAGCGCACGGTTCATTTTTTCAGACTTTAGGCGCCTCTCCTACGTTTCATAAATGTTAAATAAATGTGAGCTGGAACCACTTGAATGTAGGCGAAGAATTGCAAGGTTAGTCTTCTTTTATAAACTATACAACAATGAATCTGGTTTAAATAAAGAATTGTACATTCTGCCACCTCCTCAGCGCTCAGCAAGGTTAAATCATTCAAAAACTGTAAAACCATATGCTCCTAAAAATAACACATTCAAGTACTCCTTTTTTGTAAGAACCATTGAAGACTGGAATTCACTGCCTTCCGACTGCGTGCACGCTCCGATTTCTTCTAGTTTTGACCTCTGTGTTAGGAACCTTATGTAACCCTCTCCTGCTAGGATGGTGAAAAACTGTCTGCAGTATTCCTTAAATAAATAAATAAATAAATAAAAACTATTGCGGAGTTCGGAACACGCAGCCAACGCAACGACTGTCATAGCGACGAAACGGACATAACGGGCTGTCCGCGATAATTGTGTATAGCGATCTGCTACGTAACAAAAACTGACACTATTTTTTTTTCTTTTTGAGACATGTTATATGGTCGCTGGGAGCATAGAATCTACTGGCTAGTTGCGTGCAGTGCTGCGCTTACTTTGCACACACACTGTGCCGAGTCGCTTGCGCCCACTAAGCTTCAGACCGTGCACAGATGCGTCGAGAATCCTATTACGTTAACGTGATGATGCGAGCTTTCTGCAAAGGATGCTCTAGCAGCTATGGCAGCGGACGCAGGTGCGTTTGTGCTGTCTCATCATGAAAGCGAGTGCTACACTTGTTGTCTCGTTCCGCGCGATCCACAACGCTCAAGTCCGCAACAGCGAGCTGCTTCCGTTTCTTCAAATCTGTGGACGCTGAACACGGTCCCACATAATTTTTGAGGCGACTACGATAGGCGCCTCGGTGCTCCCGTGTAGTCTCCGGCTATTAAAAGCGTGCATTAGGCTTAGAGGGGCGCTCCGCCAGACGCGTATCGCTTTTTGTCGGCAATCTGGCGCACTTTTCGGTAGTCACCACATCGCTTTTCTTCGTTCCGGAAAAGGCACCGCCCAATCACGCTTAAATCGGCATAATTGATCGACCGATTCTGTGCGTTGAAGAAGCGCAAATGTAGAAGTGGCGACCATTACGCAATATACCCCCACGATGAATCCTGTCAACATTGCTTTCGGTTCCAAGGTGCCACAGTGGTGCAAATTAGACAAAAAAATATTCTTTTGGAACAATATGGCACCATAATTTCCCGTTGGCACAAATTGGAACGATTGGCGCCGGTTTCCCTTATGTGGCAGGGGCAGAATTTTTTTTTTTTTTGGAGGGGAGGGGGGGGGGGGCCCGGTTGCCACCCACTCCACTGATATGTGGTACCGGTGGCTAAGGTGACACACGCGGTGCTCTGAGCCCACCGTTCTAGGCTGGCGTTTACCACCAGACACATCCCTGCGAACTCTTTCCCACTTTTGTGTCATCGTTGGGTCCTTTAGGTGCGCACAAGGAATAAAAGGCACGCCCACCTGTACATCGTGCGAAGGTCCGGTGACGATGACGCCATCTCGGGTGAAGTGCAGTGCCGAGAAGAGCGCCTCGGACGCCTCGAGCTTCCGCAGGTTGGCCAGGTCGTTGTGCTCGATCTGGATCATCTCGTTGAGGCAAACGCCATGCGAGCACGTTTCAGTGAGCCACTGCAGCCACAAGGAATCATGACGCTACAGCGTGTCACCATGTTGTGGAATAATATACGTGTCATATTTATCTGTGAAACCCTCAGCGGAGGGGCAGAGATATATTTGAACAGCAAAATAAATACAGTATTAGGTAAACACATTACCGTGAGGATAAATACAATGTAAATATTATATCAGTACACTTTGTTAAATACAAGTCAACTCAAACAACACAGAATACACTAAACGGCCGATAGTACTTGCGCTCGTTAGTACAATTGACGATTGAAAGCTTATTAGTGCATTCTTAAAACTAGTTGAGTCGTTGATGAATAGTGATCGTGCAGGTAGATTATTCCAATCTGTTCAAGTCTTGGGAAAAATGAGTGTGAATATGTGGGACGAGGTACGTTGACCCAGTACATTAACTCTATGCGTTGACCTTATGCACGTGATCACGGCGAGCTGAATAATAAGAGCTGGGTGAATCCAAAGGAAAGCATTGTGGGTTTTATCAAAATGCATGATTCCTTTCTGCAAATAGAGAGTAATGGAAGCATACTCTCCAATAATGTAGCATTAGCAGTGCGGTGATAATTATCTAGAATGAAACGAACAGCGCGATTTTGTACCGATTCGATTTCGTTAATGTGAGGCACGCTGTGAGGGCTCCGGAAATTGCGAGCGTCCGGTATTCTTCCACGTCGCACAGCACACGAGCCGTTTTCAGCTTCATCGAAACCGGAGCACTGGAGAACCGCGAAAAATTGTTTTCCGACTTTTCCTTGGTGGTTCAGCACAGCGGTTCTGGTGCTCGGCTGCTTAATTATCCGAAGGCCGCGGGTGCGATCCGTCCAGAGCATTTTCAATGGATTTGATGTACATTATATTTGGGTGCGCATTAAAGCACCACACGTTTTACTTCCGGAGTCCTCCACCGTGGCGTGCCTTATACGATAACGTGGTTTGGGAACAATAATTATAGCACATTTTTTAAAGCTTAAACGTTAAAGAAAACGAACTTGCTGACGTGCGTATGTGGAAACACCTCTGCGTTGTTAAGATTCCTCTTGTGCAGGTTATGTCGGAAGGGAAATGAAAGCGTTCTTTCATTTATATGTAGATGTAATTTATTCTCTAAATATATGCCGGAATTGAAAGTTATATTCATCTGAATCGTCGCTCACTAGGACAAGGACAAAGTCGCTTAAAATACACATTACACGCCCACTTTCAAATTTTCATTTTTGTGTGTGCGATAGGTTATGTATTTTATCCTCTAACAATGCAGCGGTATGCAATGCTTGCTTGCGCACACGCAGCAACATCAATGTTCGGCAGATTGAAATATCGGAAGTTACTCTAAAACGTGTTCGCTTGTTGCAGATGACTGAGGCGCAAAAAAAAAAAAAACATTTCGTGAAACGGGAGGAGCAGAAGGGAAGAAAGAACAGCGCCAACTGTTTAATAACAGGCCAAGAAAGTCACGGGAAAAAAAGAACACCATTCGGCGCATGCGTACACAGCCAAAAAACGTCGTACAGTGCCATTGTCAAGGCAATAAGTTATCTCGAAACCACATTTCTGTGAAATAGAACATTATGAATGTATCACTGATACGATTGGGCCCTTTCTTTTTTATATGAAAAGCTTCCAAGAGCGCTCTAGCTTTTTGTTTGTTACTCCCACCAAAAATCACCGTTTGCTCAAACCATGGCACACATCCACAGGCTTTATAGTGCGTCAAAGAATGCGCCAAAACTATTGGCATGCTCCCTCAGTCTGTCATTGATGCAACGTTCCGTCTGACCGATATAGAACTTGCCGCAGCTTAGGGCTGTCCCATACACCACTCCTTGAGCGCAGCCCCTAAAAAGTTTTGAGCGCTGCTTCTGGCAGCCCCTTTGCTCATCGCATGTGATACGTGGGCACAATTGAGCCAGCTTGTTGGGAGCTGAAGAAATGACGAACGCCGTAACGGGTGGCCACCTTCCTGAGATTATGGCTCACACAACATACATAAGGCACCATCCGCTCATTTGGGCACGCATTTGCATTGGCAGCACCGTCTTTCAACTCCTGTGGCAGAGATTTGACCCCGGAACCAACAACAGACTGAGGGTAGCCGGCCTTGGAAAGCCTTTAAAGCTGAAGAAAAAAAAAACTAGCCTGCATAACAGTCTCACATGATCTGCGTAAAGACGACTTCAAGCAAAGTAGAGCGATTCCACGCTTTACAGTTTTTTAATCCACGCTTCACATAGATTCAGAGCGGATCGGGCAGCCGACGATGGTTGGGCTGACTAACCGTGTATTCTACACATCGCAGTCAGGATTCTGATCATTTGTGTAACTTAGCACGAATCCTATGCACTCACGGCTACCGATCCGCCCTGAACTTGCACTCGTTTTATGAACCTATCATTTTGTTGTTGCTATTTGTGAACAAAGTGTGAGCCAAATAAAAAGAAAAATGGATGCCCTGTCAGATTTCGCCAGTGCCTTAGGTGAAAAACCACCAAGCACTGTAAAGGAAATAGGAAAGGCAATGCAGAAGATGAACACGAAGCTTCTTGACGTTCTCTCTGCTATCAAAACAGGCGTGACACTATTGATTCATTGTACAATGCTATCAAGGCAGAATTTATATCCATCAGGGCATCTGTAAGCTTCGCTAGTGACAGCTTTGACGAAATAAAGACAGAAATAAAGTCGCTGCGTGAGAAATTGCATGAGGCGAGAACTCGAAGCATCGAGTGTCAGAAAGAAAACATAGAAATTAAAAAAAAAGAATTAAGAGATACAAGAAGACAGCTGATAGATCTACAGCAATGCTCGAGACGGAACAACATTGAACTGAAAGGCATTCCCTATGTTGAGAAGGAAAACCTAGTGGAGATTGTGGAAACAATTGCCGACTGTCTACGTGTTGAGGTCAGCGCCAAAGATTTCGATGTTGTTCACAGAGTGCCGACGAAGGCAAACAATGTTCCAAATATTGTCGTTAAGTTCTTGTCTCGCTTCAAACGTGATCTAATAGTAAAGTCAGCAAGAAAGAACAGGCTTAACACGTCAACCCTTGGTTTCAGTACAAATCAACCTGTGTTCGTGAACGAACATCTGTGTCTTGAAAATAGGGTTCTATTAGGTAAGGTTATACAGAGAAAGAAAGATAAGAACTGGAGATTCGTCGGGGTTCCCGAAGGGAAAATCCTTGCTAGGAAGTTTGAGAACTCGAAGGTAGTTCACGTTACATGCGAGGATGATCTCGCTGAACTAGTGTGGCGTCTCTTCTTGATCACCTGCCACAAAAATTTTCACAGAAATGGCTGTCACGATTGCTCAAGTAGATCAGCTCATATATAAGACATGCGCTAACATATTCTACTCCAATATCCGAAGTATAAAAAACGACCTAATTTTGCTTCTTTCTTTCTTATATAAACATACAAACCACTTCGATGTGCTAGCAACTACAGAACCATGGTTGAGAAAAGGAGAGAATGTCAACATTCCCGGATACGAAACCATATCACATCAGCGAGATTCATGTTCACGTGGTGGTGAAGTGGTGCTTTTTGTAAAAAAAAAAAAAAGGCTGCGCATATACAGTTACATCCTTCCTGAACCACAGTTCTCCTGATTTAGAAGCACTTTTTATCAGACTCCACTGTTTTGGTATAATTGGCGTGGTTTGCCGTCCACCAAATTCTAATGCAGCGCATTTCCTCGATAGGATGGAAGGAATTCTTTTATGTCTTTCAACTAAGTACCAGAACCGAGTCGTGCCTTCGCCATGCCATTGAATGCATTGAATCGTTGGGGATATAAACATAGACACCGAAAACACTAGTTACACTCATTACAGACAATTGGTTAGTTCATTCAACTTTCGTATTCTCATACATACCCCTACGAGAGTAACCAGTACGTCGGCAACAACGATTGATCACATCTTAACTAACGTATCATCGAAAGTGAATCCTGGTGTTTAAAATGAACCAACAGCATATCACCTTTCTACCTTTGTTTTCATAAAGAAAACTCCAAACAAGAATGCACAATTTTCCAGCAATACAAGCAAAATCAATTACAGCTTATTACGGAATCACATTCTCTCCATCGAATTCGAAACATTGTATGACGATGACGCCAACATTGAAGTAGAGAACCTAACAAAAGTCCTTCGCCATGTCATTGAATGCAGTCGTTCAAACGTGTCCGCATGCTCATATAACACCCCTCTGACTCCTTGAATGACAACAGAGATCCTTGCATTGCTGAAGAAGAAAGACTTCTGGTACCACAAGTGGAGACAGCACAAAGAAAATACATAATATTTAGGTCAATTCAAACTGTTAGGAAGCCAAACCGTGAATCTTATGAGGCAACAAAAAAAGTCTATTATTCTCGACTCATTTTCCAAGCACAAGGCGATTCAAAGAAAACGTGGCAAATTGTAAGAGAAGTTGTCGGTAAAGAACCAACACAGCGTGTATCATCTGATGTAGTTGTTTCGCGTATACTTAATAAATTTAATTTAATCTGTACTGAAATCAGCTCAACGGTAGCCGCGAAATTCCCTCGTTGAGAAATGAAATGTTTTCAACCTCCTTATCAAATACGTTTGCTCTTTACTACATCAGTGAGGATGAAATTCATGACACTGTTGCCAATTTAAGCACTTACAAAGCCAGTGGAATAGATGGTATTACTGCTCGCTTAGTGAAAGATAACATTGATATTTTGAGTTCCATCTTGTGTCACATATTTAACCATTGCTTGCGTACGTCGATGTACTCATCTTGTTTAAAAAAACACCTAGGTTGTGCCGGTATATAAAGACGGCGATCACTCTCATCCTTCAAGCTATCGGCCCATATCTGTGTCAAGCATTATAAACACCATATTCAAAAAGATTCTTGGAAAACGAATGCGCCTATTCTTACAAAAATATAATGCTTTTTGCCCGGAGCAGCGTGGATTTAGATCACACCATTCCACATCAACAGCTGTGTTATCGTTATCACAAAAGATTAACACAGCACTGCAGAACAACCTTCCTGTGGCAGTTGTCTTCATTTATTTAAGAAAGGCATTCAATACCGTCGATCATAATATTCTGCTTATGAAATTAAAACACTATGGATTCCGTGGCAAAGTTTTTAGCCTCTTTTCTAACTACATTGACGGACGTCATCAAATGGTCAACATGCAAGATCTTGCGTCGTCATTATAAAATATAAAGACAGGGGTACCTCAGGGGTCGGCCCTGGGGCCACTGTTATTCTCACTATACGTAAATGATTTGCCATGCATTCTCAAATCGGCCGAGTTGTTAATGTACCTGACGACACAGCTTTAATAGTTACCGCCAATAACATAGCCGATTTATAATGTAGAGCTAATTTGTAAGCGGTTTGCAGTGAACAAATTAACACTCAATGCAAAGAAAATTAAATACACCATTTTTCACTCCCGTTACCGAAATGTGAACTGTGAGTCATTTCGACTTACAATGAACAACTGCCAACTTGAGCATGTGAAAGAATTTAAATATCTCGGTGTAGTGTTCGACAGGCGATTGCATTGAAAAAACAAATTATTTCTGTTTGTACTAAGCTAGCATCTGGCTGTAGTATGCTACTGGCTGCTAGAAATTATTTTAGCAGAAATATTTTCAGAGTCCTTTATTTTTCGTTTGTTCATAGTCATCTATCATACTGCTTAGACTCATGGGGATGAACCTTTAAAACTTACCTTTATCATATCCGCATACTAAAAAAGCGTGCGCTTAGAATAATAGATTATGCGGCATATAATGAACCTGGAACACTATCAACCCAACCCATGCTAAACCCATTTCTTTACTAGATAAAGATAATATTCCCATCCCGGAGTTCAAGGTCGCCGAAACACTAAACTCCACGTTTTGCTCAGTGTTTACTGATGAACCTGACGATGCATTTTCATGTGTTCCCGATGTATCTCCATGTGTGCCGTCCCATGATTGCCCTGCTATGCCCAGTGTCATTTTTGAACCAAATGGTATCATACAAGTCATTGATTCCTTAAAAGTGACGTCTTCAGCTGGTATTGATTGTATAAATTCTAAAGTTTTAAAAAATACCAAACATCTCTGTGCTGTCATATTGTCGCACATCTTCCAGCAATCACTGTCATCTGGAGTGGTGCCACGGGACTGGAAGGTTGGCAAGGTCATTCCGATACCCAAAAAAGGTCCGTCATCCTCACCTTCAAACTACCGGCCCATATCACTAACATGCGTGTGCTGTAAAATAATGGAACACATAATTTATTCTCAAACAGTCAAATTCCTGATTTCTGTAAACTTTTTTCATCCCAGTCAGCACAGATTTCAGAAAGGCCTCTCCTGTGACACACAATTAGCGCTCTTTATTAACGACATCAGCTCAAGTATAGATCAGAATGTTCCTGTAGATGCCCTTTTCCTAGATTTTGAAAAAGCTTTCGATAAAGTACCCCATAAACGCCTTTTTTTAAAACTTTCCCGCTTAAACATTGACCCAGCAGTTCTAGAATGGATACGAAATTTTTTGTCAAACCGGGAACAGTTCGTTTACTCCAACCAGACATCATCTAACACGCGTCCTGTCCTTTCAGGTGTACCTCAGGGTACGGTGCTCGGTCCCCTTCTATTTTTAATTTATGTTAACGACCTACCTAGCAATATATCGTCCCAAATCCGTCTATTCGCTGACAATTGCGTGATTTATCGTCCTATTAACTGCCCTAATGACTCCCAGATCCTTCAAAATGATCTAATAACTATAGAAACCTGGTGCAAAAAGTGGCTCATGACTTTGAACATTAGGAAAACCTCCGTCATCTCTTTTCATCGCAGGAAATCTCACCCGGCTACTTCATACTTTTTTTCTGGTTGCGAAATATCCCTGGTGAATTCCTACAAATATTTAGGTATAAACATTACGCCAGATCTTACTTGGTCCTCCCACATAACAAACATTTCTAACGAAGCAAACAAAGTCCTTGGTTACCTAAGAAGAAATTTACGACTTGCTCCCCCTTCTGTTAAACTTTTAGCATATCAAACACTAGTCCGTCCGAAGCTTGAATACGCTTGCGCCGTCTGGGATCCCCACCAACCTAATCTATCCAAAACATTAGAATCTGTCCAAAATAGAGCAGCTAGGTTTATATATTCCGATTACTCGCGCCACACAAGCGTTACTAACTTAAAGATTAAAGCCCATCTTCCCAGCCTTGAACTGCGACGCAAAGTCGCTAGATTAGCTCTTTTTCATAAATTTTTTCACTCACTGTCCCACGCATCTGTTATCATGCCCGCGCATCGCATATCTTCCCGCACTAACCACAACAACCCAGTTTACCCTGCGCATGCCCGTACAACTGCTCACCTTCGGTCATTCTTCGTTCAGACAGCGAAGGATTGGAATGACCTTCCGTCCCACGTCGTGCGCCACTCCAGCCCCATTCTTTTCAAAGCGCACATTGAAGAAACCCTGTACTGCCCACCCCTCATGTAACACCCCTCCCTGGGGTTTTTGAGGTATAATAAATAAATAAATAAATAGTGCGTCTTTGTTTCACAAGTTTGATATTCTACCTTTTGATTACTTACGGAAGCATAAAACAGCAGTCACCATCAGTAATGTTATTGCACACAGTGTACCTTTCGATGTATCTATCTTTTCTTTCTCGTCCCGCGTCACTAGATGCATGACATTGCGGAATTTTATTCTTCCACCTACTAAAACGTGTATGGTGAACGCTTACTACAGTTCGTAAGAGCTAAAGTGTGGAGTAACATACCACTTCAGATTAAAGATTCTATAGCTTTCTCGAGGGCACTCAAAAAATTTTGCAACATGTACAACAATAGTAGTGACCATGTACTAAACCTTACATATAGTTTGATGTTTTGTCTGTACTTGCTTATTTGATTATTTATGAACAAAGTGCAACAATGTGTTCTATACACATTTCTGTACGTTCTCTCAAGCATTTACGTCACCTTGAATCCTAATAATATCTTGTATTTTTGCTCGTTTTCTTGAAAAATTCGTTTTTTATGCTGTGATTTTTTATGCAAATTGTATTCTGCTTGTATACTTTCTCCCGTTAGACACCCTACTAGCCTATGGCTATGGGTCTAACCAGTGTTGTGCATTTTATGAAATGTCATCATAACAACCTCAATAAAATGAAATGAAAAAAATGCGCTGAGTTGTAAAGTAACAATTCTTTCTTACTACGTGGGAGGTACGCACAGCATACGTGACCACCCAAAATCGTCAGATTAAGGTCCAAAAACTGCAAAGAGCTATCTTTCAGAAGTTGATTAGTGAACGTGAGCCCCTTAGTGGTTTCCTCTAGAAACATCTAAAGTCTGCTCAACCATCACAGGGAAAGGAAAAGGGCATCTACTGTCAATAACAGCTAAAAAAATCATCGACAGATCTAAAAACTTCAGCAACGTTCACATGAGATGAAGTAAAAACATTTAGTAGTGCGTGCGTCATCTCCTCGTTTCACAAAATGTTTTTTGCGCCTCGGTCATCTGCATTAAGTAATCACTAACTTGCCCAAAAACAAGTCCTTTTGAATTACCCTGCTGAAGCCGTACTTGAGCAGTGATACGATGGCTGCTTCTTCCTTGTCGACCAGCCTGCAAAGTATAAGGACAGTTGGTCAATATCATTTACTAAAATAGTCGACTCAAGGAATGAACAAGCACAAAACAGCGACTTATAAGTGCATTTGGTGGAGATAACGTAATGACAGGCAGCATGATGTAGGAAGTCTTTGTTTCGTCGGGTCAAAAGTAGTGAAGCATTGTACGGATTTAACAACAAGCGTACAAGCTACGCTATATCGCAGAGCTCGTTCTCCGCGTCGCATTTATTAAGGCGAAAGCGTCCGCCTCGGTGGAACAGCGGCTTTACGGTGCTCGGCTACTGACCCAAAGGTCGCGGGTTCCATTCCAGTCGCATTTCTATCGAGGCGAAATGGCCCTTGTACTGTGCGATGTCAGAGCACGTTAAAGAACACCATATCATCTAAACTTCCGGAACTCTTCACTACGGCATCTCTAATAACCATATCCTGGCTTTGCGATGTAGAACCCGAGATACTATCATTATTAGACACCTCGTCAGGCATGAAAATCGATCTTCGGCGTTAACACGGGTGATGTAAGTAATGTGATGACACCATAATGGCGTGGCACATCGCCAAAATTTGTTCCATTATCCCATTACATCGCAGTTTGTTGGCGAAGGACACAGTGAGGTCTCAAAGGTGCTCAAAGCTTTTGGACAGGACGAGGGGGCTAAACAGATTGACCGAGATTAATGCCTTCTGTAATGAGGAACCCTCCGGGTAGTTCTTGCTGGTGCTCCTTAGAGCGCACCGCGAATGAACATCAGCATGTATTGTATTTTTGCTACAGTCACGAAGTGCAATTGCTTCACTCACGCTTTCTTAACGACAGCCACGATGCACGAGAACTGGCTGCCTCTGTTGCCTCGCATAGTCCTGTTGAATAATCAGGAAGAACACATCGGAAAGATAAAATTTCAACAGAATATTCGACCAAATGTCACAAAATTATTGTATGAAAAGGGTTTTCTTGGCACATATTCATAATGAAACAGCGCTAAAGAAAAGCACACAGAGAGACTTGAGAGCACGAGCGACTTGCAAGTGATTGCTTTATTCAAGCGAAACAGAAGGAAGAATAAAATATGCAACTCATGCACGTGACAAAAATACTACACTTGTAGCATCAAGCTATGTAGGACCAATTGGTGCATCGCTACTCGAAAGACGTGGTACGAGCTTAAAAGTGAGAAGAATGGCGCTCTTTCTGTCTCCTCTTCATTCCTCTCGCTTTTAAGCTTGCGTCATGTCTTTCAAGTAACTTGTAATATCATTACGGCTTCTCCAAGCAAGCCCGCAACGAAATAGTGCGATCCGTATAGTTTTCTAAAATAACTTGAGGGAACTCCGGCGCTGCGATAGTTCAGCGACCATAGGAATCACAGATAATGATGGGTAGTACATGAATTTGCCTTGTAGGCTTCGAACACACTAGTGGCTTCATTTATTGCAGTGCTTTTATTTTCTTTCGACCAAACATTTTTGTTATTCATGACGCAATTTAATTTGGTGGGCCTAAGAAGTTATGGTGGTGGAGTGTAGCTGCTGAACATTTCCTGATTGTCATCGCAGGAGAATGCAGCTCTAGGCCAGGCGAAGCCAAACGGAGCCGAAAGCGCGAAGACTGGACAAATCCATGTACTACCCATCATTCCCATGCTCGCTAAAGCGTAATGCATTGCAGCTTCCATATACATCAGCGCCAGAGTTCGCTCTAGTGTATCTATACGAAAGAAGCCTAGCTATCTCTCTCTTGCAAGAATCCGTGCGTCGATAAGAGGTGGTCGTGTGGCAGAAATCTGGGGTGCAACCGCAGGAAGACAGACGGGAGAATGGCGCACCCTCTAAGGAGCTATTGTGCTCACGCGGGTGAATGTTGAGCCAGTGCCTCGTTTGCTGCACACAAACCCCAGCGAACGAAATGAAATAAAGCACATAGTTTGGGTTTGCAAGGAACAAACAGTATGCGGTTCGTGACGGAGCACGTTCTGCTCGACGACATATTCAATCTTGAGGACAACCTGTAGATTCTGGCACACAGGCTATTGAGCTAATTTATGCGGAAAGTGCACATCAACGTTGAACTATTCGGCAATATTTTTTTCTACGGTGAGAAATACAATGAATAAAGGGACTAGCGTTTTACCCTTTCCTGATCTTGCATTACGTAGTTCTGCTTGAACATTTTTAACTTAGTTAAAAACGTTTAATGTACAATGTGCCGATGACATCAGCCAGGAAGGTTATACTGTGTGCACTCTAAAAAAAGGGGAGCGAGAATGAAAAAACGGGCTCTGTTTCTTCTTCAGCGCAGCGACTTTCTTTCTTTCTGGCGCTTTACCCGTCGCGCCCTCTCCCGTCAAGGACCAAAGGAGCAACGTTTCTCTTTCAGTGTTCAAGTTTCTCCTCAATCACGGGGTTTTGCCCGCGCGCATGCGCACGCCGAGCCCAGCTGGCTACGGCCAGTCGCGAGCAATTACTTTTACTTAAGATTGATGCAAGCAATGCAGGAGTGACGTTTTTTATGTTTTATTGGTGTACAGTAAAAGCCTTTTTTTTTTTTCGTCAGGCACTCGCACGATGCTCTGCTAACTTCAGTGTGTGTCTCGTGTTGTTTCATACTACCAATTTGTCACGAATACAAGGAGCTCTGCTTCCCAAGCAGTCTTGCTTTATCGATTACCTTAGACTGTACACAAATAATGGATTTTTCAGTGTTGACATACTTGGTAAGCATACGCATATTTAGTTTCACATGGCACCGACAGCACTCACGAATTCAACGAGGCGCATAAAAAAGCATCAAACTTAATTTTTCAACATTCTAGGAAACCTGATACCACTGCACAGTCCATGCGTGAAAGCATGATCACATACAATTGATGGGGTTATACGAGCCGCTGCCGCCATATGGGTTTTCTTTGCATCCCCCCCATTCGAATACGTCGCCGTGGCCGGAAGTCGAACCTGTGTCCTGCAGCATAGTCACACGACACCCAATAAGACGATGCTACCACGGCAGGTGTAAAGCACAAAGGGAAACAGGCTGCAAAGTTTCACCGAGAATACATTTGCCAGCCTAGGTTACAACCATCAGAAATGTTTCAAACATCATCATAACTACACTTTTGTGAAAAGTAAACCAATGACTTCTGTCAGTTAAACGAAATTCTCAATCACATGCGTTTTGAATTGCCCATGCCAGCACTGAGAGGTCGGACGGAATATATGCACGCGTGCAGTATGCCTTTCTCGTCTACGATTCTCCTTTGTCGTGAGAAAGTCAACACAAAATGCACTTCTAGTAACAGCTGTGCACAGCTGGTAAGTACTAACAATCACCCACCTTTGTGAAATGAGTATTCCAAATCCATAGTAGTAACCACCACAGCCACAGTGCTAACAACACAATTGTGGCACGCACAATGACTGCAAGTTGACACGCGAGGCGAATCGCAAGAGGCATCTGAAGCAGCAAAGTGTGTAGGCACAGCATGCTATAACGTTATAGTAAATTTGCGCACTGCAGCGCTAGTTCCTCCACACAAGTAATCAAGCTTCCACGACACCAAGAGACACTCCCATCGCTCCCGAAAGAATACCGTCGGGTGCGAGGTCATCTCTTATTTCTCTCGCAAGACCCGCGTTGTAACGTACGTATACGCTGCTAAGACTGGCGTTACCGCATCAAAAACACTGTCATTGAAGGGCTAGCGGTGTACTGTATCCAACGCTAACAGTCACACTTGTGGTAAGCACGTAAAAGGAATATAAGCAAACGTTAACCTGAAACAACTAAACGAGGTCGACGCGACCACAGAACACTTGCCATGACGGAGACAAAGTATGGCTAGGAGTACCTGCCAGTTATTTGAGTACCTGTCTATTAGACACCGCCATTGTAACTATATTGTTTTTACATGCCCTTCCCCTGTAAGTAATGTTATATTACCACACTGTAATGTTTTGTACTCTGTTGCTTCTGTTATGTTTTGTGTTTTCTTTTCTCGCCCCCCTTACTCAATGTCCCTACGGGAACCTGTAAGGTAACGTGAATGAATGAATAAATAAATAAATAAATAAGTAAAACAGGAAGCTTGTACGTGCTCCCGCGCGCAGATGTAGGCTCCCTAAGTATGGCCTGCATGCTGCGCTTTCTCCGAGTAACAAGTGGAAGAATAAAAAAAGACGTGACATCCGAAATGGCAAGCGTGCGGCAAGCGTTTGCGATCTCGGAGGCTTCATGAAAAAAAAAATAACTGTGGCAGTAGTTGAGAGATGGCGCAGCATTCGGAATGCCATCGGCATTATATGCATAGCTTGGGGTAATCGTTTTCGCGAAAACTTGACAAGCTCTAGTAATTATTCAGTTCATCATTGTGCAACCGTTAATAAACTTCCATTTGTCTAAGCATCACATAAAACATATTAATGTGTGCGCATGTTGGGGTAAGGCCACAAAACGCAAAAAAAAAATGTTACCAAAACTTACTTGTTACTTGTGCCACCATGGTCAGTCGAAATTCATTGCTATATAAACTTGGGCGCTTTCGTAGTAGGATGTGAGTAAACACGTCTACGTGAGGACTCCACTTTCGGCTTCGGTGTGAGACGGACGTGTGATGGCTCGCTCCCTGCGAGGTGCTTCGGCGGCCGCTGCTGGCCGCGGTGTTAGGTTCCCTTCTGCACCATCGGATTACCGGTTTTTGTTGCCTACATTGCCGTCGGGTGACAGTATGGAAGAGTGTGTGTTTCTGCACGGTGATTTCGAAAAAAGACCATACCGGTTGGAAGACTTTCGGGCCCCGTTGGAAGAAGTGGGACTCATCAAGGCGATCACTGGCATTGGAGCCTTCCAGATGAATCACATCTGGCTGGTGAAGATGCGAAGCAAGGATGACAAAGATGTATTACTCAAAACAGGTGGACTCCGAGTCAAGGGTGGCTTCTGTGCTATCATCGACCCTATCCAACATGATGTAACCGTAAAAATCCACTGGGTTGACTTTGCGGTCTCAAATGAGAGCATTCGACAAGCGTTAGCTGAGTTTGGTGAAGTTTTGGAGGTTTCCAACGACAACTGGACCGTCGCGGGCTTTGAACACGCGATATCGACGACGAGGGTGGTGCGACTGAAACTGAAGGAAGGCGTGGTGCTAGAAGACCTGCCGCACCTTTTGAAGATTGGAGGGGGCACCGTCCTTCTTGTGGCCACGGGTCGGGCACCGCTTTGCCTAAGGTGTCACATGCAAGGAGATATACGACGAGACTGCCAGACTCCCCGCTGTGGTGTATGCCGAGAGTTTGGACATGAAAGTCAAGATTGCGTCTGGAGTTATGCCAGAGTTACGAAGACCGTGCTGCCAGCAGACGACGCCCAAGATAATCTAATGGGCACCGAAGAGGCTGAGAAGTTGGCCCCTGGCAGCAACGCCGTGGGACCCGACGCCACGGTGCAGGCAACTGGAGAAGAGACAGCCGACGCAACAACGCAAGACGGCAAGGAGGAGGTGGTAAAACTTTATTACACCAAGGTATTTGGGCACTTACGTCCCAGGGTCCCCGCACGACCCCACTGCGCTATGCGTTCATGAGTTCATGCAGTTCCATGACGTGGGCGGCCGGGTCAGTGGCGATCTTCTGCTTGGCCGGGTCCGTCGAGCGCAGCAAGGTCTCCCATTCCTCCCATGTGGTCAGTGGCTCCGGGCCCCGCGGGGGAGGGTCCGCCGGGCATTCCATGAGAATGTGGGTAAGGGTAGCGTGGGGGGTGAGTGCATTGAGCACAGGACGGGGCGTACGCTCCCGGGTAAATGCGGGAAAGAAAATAGGGGGAGGGAAGGGTGCGGGTCTGAAGGCGACGCCATAATATTTGGTGA